AATCTGTTAGTTAAATTTTGTCAGTGCCGATTTTAGTAAAATTATATTGAATAAAATTATAACTACCTATATATTTACCCATTATTACTTTTTTAATTTTTAACTTAGCATCCTGTATTTCAAAACATTTTATCCAAACATTTTTTATTTTCGTCTATTCGTCTCATTTTGAACAATAATATTCAGTTGTTCATGTCCTATTCTTAATTTGATGATACCATTAAATAAAAGTGAATATAAATTAACAGCGTACAACTCAAATTTAATTAACCATCAGCGATATATCCAAAATCCAACCACAATATAGAAAAAAATGTTCCCTATTATAGTAAAATTCCACCCAATCTCAACTAATTCAATCTTTTTCAACCAAAAACTGGTTTATTTTATTATATCGATTATTTTCGCATTTTATGTGACCTTCAAATACCCTGTATTCTGTGCTTTTGTAATAATTTGAAATAGTAAATTGTAACTATAAAAATACATTACCGAAGACAAGTAGAAATGAAAAAGAAGATTTTAAATTATAATTCATACTCAAGCACAGACATGACCTAAAGACCTGACTTGGACATAAGTACAGTATCGCCATCTACATTCTATGTCCATCGTCCTCCAATGATAAGTCCATAAGGTTACCCTACTATATTTATTCATACAACGATCAAGGCAATCGCCTCTCTGATGCGTTTTTGTAGCTTAATTATCTATTTGTTTTTTATAAAGTTTGTGCCGTTTGCTTTTGTCTGCAAAAGTATGTAGAAGGGTCTGTTCGCATTTTTATAGCTTATAGAAAACAGTAAATACATATCGTCGGCTTAATATGAAAATTGCATAAGTCCAAAATAAACAATTTTACAGGAGAGACAAAAACGAATTTACGGCTTATTTAAAATTTATAGTTAAATAAAAATTATATTGTTATGAAAATTGCACAACTCCATTCAAAATTTAAACATGGTTTACAGATCAATATTTGTTGAAGTATAATCGATTTAATATAACTTTTAGTCACTTGTACTTATTTTTACGTTATTATTACAAGCTTTATATAGTGTTTTTAGTAAAATCTAGTGACAATTTTCGTAAACTTTAAGAAAACGTATCACTTGTATGCGGGGATACCTATGTAAAGCCGAAAACCGTATCAAAATTTTAGAATTTTACATATACCTACACAGTAAAACATAATTTAATTTTGGGCATAGACTTTTTAAATTTATTTAATATTGATATTAGATGTGGTGAATTTTCATATTGTTTATTATCATCTGCAAGTGCTATAAATTCTATACAATGTCAAATCTGTATTTACATTTAAACATGATATTGATACTGGGGATACAAAACCAATTTTATCTAGACAGTACCCACTTGCACCTGCCATAGTCCATGTAAAAAAGAACTTAATGATTTACTACAATTAGGTATCATACAACCATTTGTTTCTCCTTGGTCCAGTCCACTTTGGATAGTTGATAAGAAAACTAGTACCGAAAAAAGATTATGTTTAGATAGTAGACATTTGAATCAACACACTGTTTTTGATAGTTATCCTATGCATTTAGTGGACTCAATATTGAATAAACTTAGGGATGCAAAATTTCTTACCTCCATTGATCTTCGAAAGGCTTTTCTACAGGTTCCTCTAACTGATACCTTCAAACCTAAAACTGCTTTTTCAGTTTTTTGATGTTGGATCATTGGAATTCTCAAGAATGATATTTGGCTTAAAAAATGGTCCTCATACAATGGCTCGTTTAATGGACATAGTCATAGATCCTTCTACCTTGCTGTTTCTGTTATTTGGATGACATTATTGTAGCAACTCCTACTTTTGAACTGCATATTGACACTTTGAAAAAATTGAAAAATGCTAATCTTACAATTAATATGGAGAAAAGTGAATTTTGTCGTGATTCTCTTCATTTCCTTTGATTTTTCTTAGATAAGGGTGGTTTAAGGACGGATCCCGAAAAAGTTTCTGCAATTTTAAATTATAAAATTCCCTCAAATACTACCGAGATGAAATACGTCTCATAGGCTTAATAGGTTGGTTATAGGAGGTTCCTGAAAAATTTCTCTACGGTTTGTTCACTTATTAATGACTTATTAAAGAATAAGGAGGGACAGTCTATAGTATAGACATCAGAAGCTGATGCTGCGTTTGTGGAGATTAAAAAAATGCTTACCACTAGCCCAATACTTGCAAGTCCAGATTATTCAAAACAATTCATTATCCAAACGGATGCTAGTGAAACTGGAATTGGTGCTATCTTATATCAAGAATGTGATGGTCTTGAACAGCCAATTGCTTATGCTAGTCGTAGCTTAACGACTTGTGAAAGAAAATTATCCACTACTGAAAGAGAATTACTTTGGAGTTGATAAATTTCGGTGTTATGTTGAAGGTACACATTTCCTTTTAGAAACGGATCATTCTTCCTTACAACATCTTTATAAATTGTCCAATCCTTCTGGTCGTTTAGCTAGGTTGGTTTAATGAGATTTCTATCTTAGATGTTGCAGAATTTAAACCTGACAAATGGTATAAATCTATGTTACATAAAGTTGATTCATGTCCTGAAAAATATCCCTCTTTTAAAGTTGAAAATAGAATCTTGTATAAACATATTTTTTCTCACAATCCTTTGATATCCAGTTTAACTAATTGGAAAATTGTGGTCCTAATAAGAATCGTTCTGAAATTCTTAAAATTTATCATGATGATGTTATTGGAAGCCATTTGGGTATTTCCAAAAGTATCTCTCGTATTTCAGAAATTTATTATTGGCCAACTTTAAGGAAATATGTATATCGGTATATTAAAAAATGTAATATCTGTTCGTCTTGTAAAAGCACGAATGTGCCTAAAGCAGCTATTATGGGTAATTTTAAAAATATTAATCATCATTTTCAATGGTTATTAATGGACATTATCGGACCATATCCCACAACAAAGAATGGAAACAAATATGCTCTTATAATAACAGATTGGTTTACTAAGTTTTGTTTTGCTCATCTTATGTCTAAAGCTACTGCAGCTAGTATAACTAAATTTATAGAAACACATATCTTTAACATATTTGGAGTTTGTCAAATTGTTTCTACAGACAATGGAAGTGTTTTTGTTTCTAAAGAACTTAAAGCTTTGATGGACAAATAATACGCATTTCCCCACCACGAGATTTGGGTTTTTGTTTAGTCGGTAACATGACAAGCGTGTCCATGTCAACTTTTTTTGCATAACTAATTTCAGCCAAATGAAATTAAACAAAAACCGTAATCATTTACAACTTGGCAACAACGCACTTCCTCACCATGGGATTTGGGTTTTTGTTGACACATAAATATCATAATTGTTATCGTAACAACACTTTTTGCATAAAGGTTTTGGCTAAACGAAAGTTGAGCCTAACTTGCCTCAACATACTTAATATTGTAAAATCGACTTTTTTACTTTGGCTTACTTTTTTAGATATATTTTAACATACTCTATCTGAATATGTTGGTTTAATAATTCTATAGATAGTTTTCTGCGAAATATTTAATGCCTCTGCATTCATTTGATTGTACCTCTTTCCAAGAGCCTTGAAAATAGATGTGTCTCTTAAAATAGAAAACTACGTTTAGGATTAAAGTTTTTGATTGGTCATTAAATCGTTTCACCATTTTGTTGAATACTTATAAAAACTTTTGAAGTATCAAAATATACAAATTTTAAACAAATTGACAAATTCGAAATTATTTTGATAACTGCTCCTGACATAACATATGTAACATGTAATGTTGGTTTTACTTAACTATAGGAAAGGGAAGGAGGGCGCCACCAAACTTACATAAACATATTATTATCATTTAAGGTTAATTATAATAGTTTGGCAAATATAATTAATATGACTGATGTTAAAACAAGAATGTATATGTGTATGCAGGCAAGTAACAATTACAATCTACACAAGCCATGATTCATTTAAATTACTTCATTTAATTTTCGATGATAAAAAATGAAACTTATCTCAGAGTAGGAATGGTGTTAGGTCTTCAATCTTTCTTTAAGGGTCAATCAAATAAGGACGGTCTCCTACAGCGATGCGTTTTCTTCTAACCATAAATTAACATGTTGTTACCATAACTTCATATATCTTCTAACCATAAATTAACATATATGTAACCATAACTTCAACTATCTTCTAACCATATTTTCAACTATTTTCTCAGCGTATGTTTAAACCATCCAAAGGTTGACTTATCTAAAAGATTGAGACCTTTTTGAAGTTTACGTAATAAGGAAAAATAAGGAATAAGGAGGTAAGATGTTTCTGAACACAGAATGAATAAAAAATAGATCTTTACAGAAATTAATGACACGTTCTAAAACATCTAACCTCACATTTTTAACAACTAAATAAATCCCGATCCATTTCGTTAATCTTTGCAGAAATCTTGTAAATATTAATCTTTTACTCACCATAAAATACTGATGGTTGTCACCACTAACAAAAATACCACATACTGTTTAAGATTAATTAAATATTAGCAGATTTAATAATCTCGACTGCCTCGTTCTGAGGTATTGTTGTAATACCTGTCGAAAGTCAAATTCACTTTCGATCCGAACATACAACTTATAAAACCAAAAATAATTATATAAAATATTTGTAGCGACAGAATGAAACTAACGGTCCTAATAGAGATGGGACAATCATTTTAAAAATATAGTTATAAAATATTAAAATAACGGTACTAGAAGAGTAACCGTTACACATAATGTAATTAATCTACGACGTGTTGTGGCATCCTTATTTTACATAATTTAACTAGATTCGCTTTTAGTTCCAGATTACAAAAAAAAAATAGAATAAACACTTTACAAATGACAATCATTAAAATGTTTGACCTTCATATCTCAACTTTGGTCTTTTAGATTTTATCTAATTGAATTATTTCAAAAAAAAAGTTACCAATATATAGCTTATGATATGATTTTTTTACAGACACCCTGGTTTAAAATGTTTACTCAACAATTCAGATCGAGATACAGCAAACACTGACCCTTACATTATGGAAGAACGAGATCCAGTCAAATCTAATGCAATCAATAGTTCTCTATGGGAAATCAAGACTCTTCAAAGCCACGTTCAACCCAGCGTTTCATCAGCCGCCAAATTCATAAACACACCTTTGCCAAGTGTCGAATGGGACCTGAGCAAAGTTCTGGATAAAACCGGTGATGATATGTTCGATAAGGAAGTTAAAAAATTCAGCAAATTGATTGTTTTGCAATTTGAAAAGCCCAACGGGGCTTCTATAGGTAAAGGAGAGAGATTACTTCAGTTTTGGGATTTCTAATTTGTATGAATGTTGTTTTTTAATGTGTAACATATTTTCTTGTCAAAGGAGGAACCTGATATGAAAGCAGATTAATTAAAAAAATATATTCATTTGATATTCGCTTAGATACCAGATTTTTCCTTTTCTGTTCTTACATATTATATATTGTTAGTTTTTCTGTTACTTTTTAGAACTGTTTTTAATAATTTTGTAAGTATTTGTCAAATTATAGCCGATACTATTGTTTAATTAATTATTAGTAGTTATATTTTATAATTGCTTCTTTTATAGCAGGCTATTCTTAAAAACCGAACATCACAAACGCGTTGTTTTTAAGTTACATTAATTTGCAGCTTCTTAACTGATTTAATAATTACGTACATTCCAAAATTTTCTTATTTTAGAATTTGTAGAGTTTCAGAGTGTTACATTTTAAAATCGAGAAGAAGTTACACGAATATTAATTAATTTAGAATCCTATTAACTACAAATTTAATTGTTTATTATATTGACTTACTTTTCTACTTAGAGCACTCTGAAATATTACATAATTTGAATAAAAAAATTTTAATCCACAGTTAACAAAATATAAATTTAGGGGCAGTTGTTCAACAATGAACCACCTAAAATTTGGAATGGCTGTAAATCGATCCAATTGTAACATGGGGTCATGAAACTTTGGCACGTATTAGTCTATATATTTGCAGTTCTTTTTATATTATCAAAACATTAATCAACATTTTTGGTTCAGAATGGCATACATTTTTTTAAAAAGTAGCATGTGGTTCATTGTGCCCACCGGGTGGTACACAATGAATCAGTCGAGCGGACACAATGAACCACGCAAAAGAAACTTAAAATACAGCGGAAACAATTTTTAAGGAATAATAAAAAATACAAGTTTTTTGCTAATTTTTATTTATAAAAATAAAATTAAAATAAACAATTTAATCTCAAACAAAAAAAAAACAAAAAATTATTATTTAAAACAAATGAACTTAAAAATAAGACCGAAAAGTGACAACTGAATCTATTGTGATGTTTGTTTATTTTCAACCAACAGTTTATTTATTAATAATTTATTTAAACACTTATTTATTTTAAACAATACTATTTTAATTTATATATACTTCGAATGTCTTTAAACTGATCACTATTTATATTCACCACTGTCTATCTACTAATTACTATTTATCTTCACTGTCCATATAACAACTGATCCTGATGGGTCTCCTCCACCAATTTATATACAAATTGGTGCTCTGGAATGCTCCCCCACCAAAATTGCCAGTATGTACCAGAAACGTTATTACGTTCTAGAAATAGTATCTCGTTGACCCTGGAATATTCGCGAAAGTGTCTCCACCATAGTCGTCCCATAGGTTTGGTCTTAAGGGGTTTAATTATGTATAATAATCGGACAAGTTGAGCCTCAAAGGCTAAATAAGACAGAGAGGGACTTGTAGGGTTAGAGCATGACTGAATAATGAAATGGCTCACATAACATTGCCCTCTCCTTAAGAGATAGTTCCTCCTGGAACTCTTACGAAACTAAACTGGAATGGTTGTATTTGCAACTGAATCCTCTTTTACAAATTCCAGTTGCATGGAAGTAACAAGGGACTGTCTTCGCTGTAACCTGGGCACTGGGCGAATGGCTGCAGACCAATATCTGAACTCCGGTATCTTGAAAGATTACTTCCGCCATGTTCCTAATGATCCTCCAATCCAGCTGATTTCCTTCTATCTTCGGCATGGCTAGTTTCTGTACATTGGACTCCAGTACATGCTCTCTTAGACTAAGTAATGCTTCCCATACATCCTGATAGGTGGATCGGTCTTGGAAGGTGTTCTTCGTTATTAAATAAAAAGATACCGTGACCCGTCTTGAAGTTTCAAGGCTTTTCCAGGGGCTGGTAACTGACATTGAAGTTCCACCAGTCGACCAAACTTCTTACGGAACACATATGCCAGTCCTCGCGCGTCGTTGATGCTGGCGGAAGTACTATGGACCAGCGAGTAGTTTTTCGGAAGCGAGAGCAGATCTTGTTGTTGCTCGGTCGTAACACCATATCTGGCTTTTCCAGTACCTCCATATGCAGCCATAAATTCTTCAAAGACAAGGTCTGGTGTTTCTTGAAGTTGGTTTACTTCTTCTTCATGGTCACCCTCAAATGGCGCCAGCCTGTTTTGATGCACTACCTTCGGTTTACCGTTTGGGATCTTGCTTATACGGTAAATTACATCATTTATTTTATTCTTGATGAGGTACGGACCTTCCCAAGACCTTTGAAGCTTCGGAGAATAACCCTTTTGCCTTTTGTCGCCTTCCTTGAAACATCCCTCCGTAGCTTGAGTATCGTACCGTTTCCTCATCCTGTCGCTGGCGATTTGGAGATGCGAGGGAACTAATTCATGCATGTCGTCCATTCTTCTTCGTAACTGGATCACATAATCTTCACCAGCTACATCTTCTCCAGGTCGGCATCCAAACTCGAGGTCGCATGGTAGTCTCATCTCACGCCCAAACAAGACCTTTGCTGGTGTTTGGCCTGTTGATTAATTGACAGCGGATCTATAAGCCATTGCAAAGAGCGAAAGATACTGATCCCAATCTCGCTGATGGTTTGAAACCACTTTTGACAAATATTTTCCAATGGTCTTATTCATTCGCTCTATCATTCCATCAGATTGTGGGTGCAATGCTGTGGTTCGGGTTTTCTTCATGCCTAGTCTGTCACAGATTCCACGGAAGAGTTGGCTTTCAAAATTTCTGCCTTGGTCACTGTGGATCTCAAAGAGTACTCCAAATCGACAGATAAACTCTCTTATCAACACATCTGCAACAGTTGCGGCCTCTTGATTTGGAATGGCATAGACTTCCACCCACTTTGTAAAATAGTCCATAACCACCAAAATGTATTTATTACCATCCTCGGTCGTGGGAAATGGTCCAGCAATATCCAAGGCGATCCTCTCAAATGGGCTACCAACGTTGTATTGCTTCATGGGAGCCTTCCTTTTTCGTTGAGGTCCATTACTCATAGCACAGGTGGTACATTTCTTACACCAGTCCTTTACATAATCGGAACTGTTCATCCAGTAAAACCTTTCCCGAACTCTCTGAAGGGTTTTCCTAACACCGAGATGTCCTCCTGATGGACTGTCGTGTAACTGACGGAGTACTTTAGCTACTCTATTTCTTGGAATGACCACCAACTGTCTTCTGTTCTCGGAACCGTCATCATTTTCCAGTACTCGCTTTAATAAGCCATCTTCCAGGATAAAGGAGTTCCACTGAGCCAAATAGGACTTAAGTACTGGAGAGAGATTAGATACCTCTTGCCAAGTAGGTCGACGATTTTCCTCTTTCCATTCTCGTATCTTCTTTAAGACGGGATCATTCTCTTGTTCTTCCCTAAGTTGGACAGGGGCCCACTCATCGCTGACAACCGACGTTCTTCGTACTGTAATTTCTTTAACAGATGTGGCCAAACCCTTTCCAACCAGAGTTCCTTGACCAACACCTTTATTGCGCGTCGAAGGTTCCGCCATGACAGGCGTTGTCTTCTCTACAGTTCCTTGCAACCGCCTTACTCATATGGTTTCACTACTTTCAGGTAACACCGTTCCTTCCTGTACAGCCACCGGCACGGTTTTTCGATTCGTAGTGTTCTTTGGACGTTTGCGCGAACTGCTTACTTTTCCCATTTCACCGCAATTCCAGCACCTAATAGTCTTCGGTTGCTTCTCAATAAGGCTTTTTATCATGTGAAACAATTGGTCCAATTTATTTCCCTGATCTTTTACAGTCCTTACTTCACTGTATCCACCAGAAGCCACCGTAGCCGCTTCATATTCAAGAGCAGCGGACAAGACATCGACCAATGTTTTGTGACGGGCTAAACGAAGTGTTCTTTGCATTTCATGGTTACGAAGTCCATCTACAAATGCTTGAACAGCCAAACATTCCATCATGTTTTCTGGAGCTGACGGGTAGGCAAATCGCACCATCTTCGCAATATCTAATTCATATTCCTGAAGAGTCTCGTCTCGTTTCTGTTTACGATTCTTTAATTGTGACTGGTATAAATGCTCCAGGTGTTCGTGGCCATATCGCATATTTAGTCTCTTTTTCAGTTGTTCAAAATCATCTGTCTCTTCTACGGGTATAGTCTGAAGGACATCCAAAGCGTCTCCTCGAAGGGCAATGGTCAAATTTATTGCTTTCTCTCGTTCAGACCACTCGTTTGCTCTGGCAGCTGTTTCGAACTGCTTAAGGTAGTTCGTCCAAGACATCTTCCTGTCAAAAGTTGGGGCTTTAACACGAGGAGAGTTTACAGCTCCTTCCAATTTCAACTTCGACTCCACCTCATGGCATTTAATTTCAACGTCCTTGGCCGGGTCTGAATTTTCCAGTTCTTCTATCTTCTTTTCCATCTCTTTTATTTTCTCTTCAACGGAAGACATTATTTTCTCCTCAACAGAAGTCATCTTATTTTCCACATCAGTAGAAATTTCATTTTTCAGAGAAGACATTTTGTTTTCCAAGTCGGAAGAAATTTCATCTTTTAAAGAAGAGATATCAGAAGAAACTTTAGTTTCTAAAGAAGAGATTTCATTTTTCACGGAAGTCATATCAGAAGACACATTTTCTTCTAAGGAAGAAATATCAGACGAAACTTTATTTTCTAAAGAAGAAATGTCGGAAGAAACGTTAGTTTCTAATGAAGAAATGTCAGAAGAAACTTTAGTTTCTAATGAGGAAATATCACTTTTTATAGAAGAAACATTAGAAGAAATTTTATTTTCTATAGAAGACATTTTAGTTTCCATATCGGAAGAAATTGAAGAAATAATAGCAGAAGATGCATCATCCGAAAATAGATACGTTTCCGGATCCAATCCTTCACTTTCTAGTGCTTCCTTAAGACGTTCTGCCAGTTCTGCCTTCTTCCCTGTCGTCTCCAATTCACGATCTTCTAATTCCCGACGTAGCTCGGTCACTTTTAAATCACACAGTCTTTTAGCCATTATTGTCCACTATTTATTTACCCTATCTCACTTCTCGACACCAATGTGATGTTTGTTTATTTTCAAACAACAGTTTATTTATTAATAATTTATTTAAACACTTATTTATTTTAAACAATACTATTTTAATTTATATATACTTCGAATGTCTTTAAACTGATCACTATTTATATTCACCACTGTCTATCTACTAATTACTATTTATCTTCACTGTCCATATAACAACTGATCCTGATGGGTCTCCTCCACCAATTTATATACAAATTGGTGGTCTAGAATGCTCCCCACCAAAATTGCCAGTATGTACCAGAAACGTTATCACGTTCTAGAAATAGTATCTCGTTGACCCTGGAATATTCGCGAAAGTGTCTCCACCATAGTCGTCCCATAGGTTTGGTCTTAAGGGGTTTAATTATGTATAATAATCGGACAAGTTGAGCCTCAAAGGCTAAATAAGACAGAGAGGGACTTGTAGGGTTAGAGCATGACTGAATAATGAAATGGCTCACATAACACTATCTTATGTTTAAATTAGAGAATAATACTTTAAACATGAAGTATCCTTGCTGCCGTTTGGTACTTCCGCATTGTAATGGTTTAGGTAAAATATATTTAATAGATTCTTTTCTTACGGAAGCTCTATCAATGATATCAGGAAATACAAAATGTTCATGTTCCTTAGATTTTAACCTAAGAAATGTTATAAGGTAATCCTCGGACCGACTTATTTCTAATATTTTTCTTATATAATACACAGTTAATTTTGAAGTAGGAAACTCTACCACAACAAAGTCATCTATGTTTGGGTTGTCACAAAGGGTATCAAATAAATCTGAATGCAAACTTG